GGGTTTAGGGGTTAGGGGCCTAAGGGTTTTAGGGGTTTAGGGTTTAGGGATTTGGGGTTTAGGGTTTAAGGGTTTAGGTTTTAGGGGTTACGTTCAGGCTGAGATCTCGGATTTATCCGGTTCGGATGTAGAATTTGTGGATGAACAGGGCCTGGATTTTAGGGTTGCGGAACATGCCCGTGACAACTCCAGGCTAGAGCAACGTGCTTCTCGGGCCACCAACAAGCTTACCATCAAGTATCTCGCTTGGACTATTAGTTATTTGCAACTACAACCCAAGCTTCAGCCTAAAGACTAAATCCGCCAAGGTGCTGAAAGCCTTGCCCTCCTTTTGTAGCCGATAAACGGTCTCGAAGCTCTTGAGGAAGCCGCCCACCCAGCGATCGAGCCTAATCCTCACTTTTGGTGGCATACACGTATAACCTTTGAAAGTAGACGTCTGGAAGCTGTTCGTATGAACATGAGGCTTAGGTTGTGTGTTTATAGGATAGCAACAGTGGTGCTAATCATAATCATAACAATGTAACAACTGAAATGAGAAGGCCGCAATCATCTTTGTGAAACTCTTTGCAATAGCAGTAGAAATCGTAAGTTCAAACAACAGTAAATAATACAACCAGTGATTATGATCACATGGTACCAGTACTCAAAGTATTTGAATGGAAGCTTAATAGTAACAGTCCAGTAACAGTCATGGCAATAGGAAAAGGACAAGGTAGGGAACAGGAACCGTATTTGTACATAGCAGTCAGTAGTCATACAAGACAGAATAAGAGCAAGACTACGAACCCCAAACCATAAAAGGGCGACACAAAACCCCAAGGCCCCCTGCTCCTTCAAACAACTAGCGACCCAAGGCCTTAATGTAAGGGCCTCAAAGATTGGAATGGGGTTTTAATTGGCTCCGTGATATTACCATGATAATAAGGAGCCCCAGGGAATAAAATATTGGTAATTGCTGAGGCCCTGTATTAAAACCCAAAACCCTAAACCCTTGAATTAAGCAAAGAAGCGGCCCAAGCCCGTAGCGCCAGAACATCCGAGCTAAAGTCACAACTCGGCGGTCGCTCGTCTCGAAAAGCCTCAAGGCTGGCGTTTGGGATTTAGGGTTTGTGGTTTTCGGGGCTTGGGTTTTTAGGGGTTTGTGGGTTTGGGTACCTTGGCTTGCGGATTTTGGGGTCGGGGTTTTGTCGGGGGCTTTTGGATTAAAGCGCTTATCTGAGTCCTGGTCAGGGTTTACGTCAAGCCCTAGGGTTGAGCGCTTTGGTCATAGATTTGTCCAGACCCCCTCCAAAGACACCCCCCCAAGGCGAACCCACTAGCGAAGCTCAATAGAGCAGGGGTTTCGCGGTCCCGTTTTGGTTTCGAGGGATGAACCCCGAGGTCAATTGAGGGGCCTGTTGAGGAATTGATTGGGCGTTAGCGAGGGCCTATTGAGCAGCATGGGGTCTTATTGAAGGATTCCAAGGCTTGTGTTCAACGCAAACTAAACACCAACAAGCTTCAATAGCGGCTTTTGCGCTATATTGTCATAGGGTTTTAGCGGCAAAAGCACACATAATTCAAGCTTTTTGGGTGGGCTCGAAATGCCGTATGTGTCGCGCCTGCCTACAACACAGAAGCAAGCCTTGGACCACCGGCCTTGAGGCCGGTTGTCTTCTCCCATTTCGCGGTCACATCTAGCTCACGAAGCTTTTCCAGCTTCGCCTCTCTTTTACGCCGGCCCTCTTGGAGCAGCCGGTCCCTTTCTGCGTTCTGGCGGGCTTTTGCTGGTACAGCCATGTGCCTGGTAGCGGATCAATGTAGGGAACCCGGACAAATGGCTTCGCTGGTAGTAGGAGGCGTCCTTGCCGAGGCCACACCCCTTATGACCATGCTTTCTGTCGGTCCCCAAACAAAATCAGCTCCGCGTCATGCGAGGCCAAAGCTCATGGCGTTGAGCGCAGACGCAGGTTGGGGTGTGCTTGGCGGGCAGTCGGCGGATGCTCTTCCAACTGTCAATAAATTGGAAGAGTGTGTCGCAATGCACTCCCAGTTGGATCGTGAACTGATGCGTTTTTCTAGAGTTTTGAGGGGTCCGGTCCGGGTGCTGGACCCGTGCCTGTCGCGGATGCAGGCTTTCCACCGTCCTCCTCCACTGGTCACCCGGACCTGACCAGAGTTCGCCAAAGAAGTTTTCAAAGCAGTACAGGCGGTTGCGACTGCATCATGTGGCATCAGATCCACTCTCGGGGGCTCAGCAATTGGCGCAGGCTCCTCCTCGACCTCCGAGTCCGAGATGAGCAAGAATCCAGATCTGGGATATGTCCATCTGGATCTGGCTCCGTCGGCGGAAAGTCTGCGGACTCGCCTCGGTCTCAATTGTTGCGGTGTGTGTGTGTGTGTGCCCCACTTACTTAGTACATGCAGGATCGCACGATGACATGCCATGCACGGAACACATGCACGGCCTCCGTTATCCACAACGGCCTCCGCGACGTGACCATTGTCGTCCCACTCGCCTGTCAACGGGTTGAATTGCAGATCTCGCTCCGGTGGTCGGCTGCAGTGATGGGCTGTCGCTGTTGCTGTCGCTACTGCTGTTGTTGTCCACGGGGTTCTGTGGGAACGCTTCTGACAAGCATGCCCCGTCAGGAAAGAGCGCCTGGGCAAGGTCATGGTAGACGTTGAAGTTGGGCAAGGCCGGCCAGTCAAGCGCAAGCGCATGCGCCGGCTGGTTGGCGTCCTGAGCGATCTTCGCAGTGTAGGACTCCAAAGAAGGTGTGCTCTTTGTGTCGATATTGAAAAAAGCCAGGAGCGGATGCATGAGGTGAGTCACGGGCCGCTTTGTAAAGAACCGGATGGCTCGCCCACCGCCGGAGGAGTGTTCGCTCCGCACACACTTGCCGAGGAAGCACTGGAGGATCACACAGGCAAGGAACTCTAAGAAGTGGCTGTACGCTTTCCGAGTCATCCTGGTGATGGGTCTCTGGGTGGCCTCCGATTTACTCCACCAGAACCAATCGCCGACATCCTGACCCATGGCATGGGTGCAAGAAGGCTATGTGGCATGGGCGCGTGATGGAGCCTTGCAGTAAACAAGATGGGTTTGTGGAAGTTTACGTACTTCGAAGGCTGGGGGTAGCAAGTAGGTAGCACATGGAGTTGTCTGTATCTGCCGTCCTTTCTACTCAGGACTGAATCTCCGGACCCTCGAAACACACAAACCATGACCATGACTCAGTTTAGTACAGCCTGAAGGTACAAGTACCCAAGGAAGAACCACAATGGGGTTGCTGAGTTGATATCTTATATACTTACATCTCCACGGAAGAGCGCCTTAGTCAGCTCTCCGCTTCAGGTACACTCCAAGCTACCCAGCTTTCTGCAAGAGGAACTCAGCAACCTGGAGAACCGACTCACCGCAGACACCCTCCGGCAGGTCGGACAGCACGGGCAGCACACAAGCGTGCAAGTCGGCCAGCTTCATAAGCTGCTTTATGTATGATGGGACCTTCCTTGCCATCCTTCGTGTCAACACAGAGCTGCTTCACGGAAGGAGCGGCATCGGCTTCTCCCTCCATCGGGGGAGGGTCGCTGGCCACGATTCGCCTAAAGACACCCCCCCCCCACTCCCCCCCCAAAAAAAAAACTCTCAGTAGCCTTCGGTGAAGGTTGTGCGTTTGGGGGGGGGGTGTCTGTCTGCCCCCCTCCCGTTGACATCCTATAACATTGAAGTTCAGAAGGCCTTCTTTGAAGCCTCATCGTTTGCAAAAGAGTGTTGTCGAAGCCAGCCTGGGTCAAGACTTGTTGAGGGAGTTCGTTGTGATTGAGCGTTCATGTTGGCTATTTAGCAGTGTCTTGTGTGGGGTTGGGAACAGGGGAAGGTAGAAAGCCTTTCCTTATTTGTTAGACGGCGAGTCCGAAGTCCGAAGCCGATGCCGCGGCAATGTGCGCTGTGCGGAAACTGGGGAACCCGATGCAAAGGGAACCAGCGATGGGAATCCGGATTCCCCAGAACCCCGCACAAGACCGCCAAGATTAACACTCAACTGCAACGACGGACTCCCCCAACAAATCCTGAAACTGGCTGGCTTCAATAAGACTCTTTTGCAAACGATGAGGCTTCAAAGAAGGCCTCCGGAACCTCAATAGAGCGCACAAGCCGCTATTGAAGCCTACTGTTGTTGAGTTCGGCACCCCTTGGCCTGATTGAGGCTTGTGGGGGCACTGTTGAGCTTACACATCCCTGAGCTCAAAGTATGTGATATGCTACAAATACCATGACCTTTAACACCCAAGACCCTTCATTGAAGCTCCTGT